CCGACGGGCGACGGTGGCCCCCAGCGCGTGCCACAAGTCGGCGTCTGGCCCAGACGGGGCCTGATCGAACCTCTGCCACCAGCCCTCGCAAACCGCGAGGTTGTCGGTGAAGAAGATGACGTCACCTGCCGACAGCTGGACGGCCAAGAGCAAGGCCCGCAACTCGCCGCGGTGCACCGTCTGCCGCGGCCCCACCAGTGGCCCGAAGGCGGCGCCCGCGATCTCCACGGCTCCGCCTCGCAGTCGGCAATCGCTGACGCCGACGCGCCGGAGGCGGGGGTCCTTCGACTCAGGGCCGCCGCTGGCGTCGCCGAACAGAGCCAAGGGCGCGCTGACGGTGCCGCGCCCAAGAAGGCGCCGTCAAAGCCGCCACCGATGGTGGTCCAGTCCTCTACGTCAGCGGGGCCTGGCACCGCCGTCCACGCGGCGGAGGAGGAGGAGGAGGAGGAGGAGGAGGAGGAGGAGGAGGAGGAGGGAGACCTCTTGGGAGCCTCTTGAGGCACTCTTTGGGCCTCCTGGGAGTTTCCTGGGGACCTTTTGGAAGCCTCTTGGGAGTTTCTTGGGCCTCTCGGGGGCCTTTGGAAGCTCCTCGGGAGGCCCTTTTGCAAACTTAAGGCCTTCCTGCCCCGTCTAACGCTGTTGGAAGCCGTCTTGCGGGCCTCTATGGGCTGACTTGGGGCCCTGTTGGGGCACTTCAGGGCCGTCTTGGAGGCCATCTTGGGCGTCTTGGAAGTGTCCTGGTCCTTCTTGGGGCCCTTTGGTGGCCGTCTTGGGGGCCTCCTGAGCTGTCAGGGGTCCATCTCGGAGGCCTCTTGGGCGCTCTTGGGCCATCTTGTTGGCCCCTGCGGCCCTCTTGGGCCGTCGGACAATTGAAAGTGAGGAACCGCCCAGACAGCTGATTCGGGTCTCTTCGGGCCTTCCTGGAAGACCTCTTGGAGGCCTCTTGGGGGCGGGTTGTCTTGGGCCTCTGGTGGCCATTTTCGACCGTCTTGGCTGCATCGTGGGCCGTCTTCCAGGCATATTGCGGCTATCTTGGGCTCTCTTAGTGGCCATCTTGGTCGTCTTGGGATACCATCTTGAGCGTTTTGGGGGACTTCTTCTTGGGCCGTCTGTGGGCCCTCTGGGGCTCTCTCGGGGGCCCCTTGGGCTGTCATGGGGCAATCTTCGGGACTTTTTGGGTGATCCTCGGGCGACATTTGAGACCTCTTGGACCGTTTTGGCCCGTCGGAAGGCAAACACAGAGGAATTTCCCAACTCCTTTCAACTACATAAGGAATGATGTAAGCCTCTTCAGGCCTTCCCGAAGGAGCTTGAAGTTCCCTGGGGCCGTCATGAGAGCCTCTTGGGGCGTCTTGGGCCATCTGGAGGCCAACCCAGGCCGTCTTGTCTACATATTGGGCCGCCTTGGGATCTGGGGCTCTCTTGGGGACATCTTGGCCGTCTCTGAGCCCATCTTGGGCGTCTTGGGAGTCATCTGGGGCCAACTTTGGGCCTGTTTGTGGGCCTCTTGGGCCGTCATAAGGGCCAGCTTGGAGGTTTCTTGGGCGCTCTTGAGGCGATCTTGGAGCCTCCTCAGCCGTCTTGGGACGTCGGAAGGCCGACAAGAAGCAAACAGATGGACAACCAATGATTAAGGCTTGCTCGGGCCTTCCTGGGGGTCCTCTCGGAGGCCTCTGGGTTCGTCTTGAAGACCTCTTGGATCATCTGAGGTCATCTTGGAGCCGTCTTGGGGCAGTCTTGGTGATTTCTTGTACGGGCCTGGAGGCATCTTGCACCCTCTTGGGTCGTCTTGGAGGCCATTCTGGACCATCTTGGGCGAACTGAAAGGCCATTTTGGGCTATCTCGGCCGTGTTGGATGCTCTCTTGGAGCCATCTGGAAAGGAACCATTCTTGCCACCCGGGTCTGCATGAGCTATTCGGGTGGGCGGCGTGGTGGGCCGAAGCCCCCTGGGGAGCTCTTCTTATAAAAGAGCATTGCAAACCCTTTGTTCAGGCGATCGTGAACATGGATCAGGGGGGGCTGATCGAACCTCTGCCACCAGCCCTCGCAAACCGCGAGGTTGTCGGTGAAGAAGATGACGTCACCTGCCGACAGCTGGACGGCCAAGAGCAAGGCCCGCAACTCGCCGCGGTGCACCGTCTGCCGCGGCCCCACCAGTGGCCCGAAGGCGGCGCCCGCGATCTCCACGGCTCCGCCTCGCAGTCGGCAGTCGCTGACGCCGACGCGCCAGAGGCGGGGGTCCTTCGACTCAGGGCCGCCGCTGGCGTCGCCGAACAGAGCCAAGGGCGCGCTGACGGTGCCGCGCCCAAGAACGCGCCGTCAAAGCCGCCACCGATGGTGGTCCAGTCCTCTACGTCAGCGGGGCCTGGCACCGCCGTCCACGCGGCGGAGGAGGAGGAGGAGGAGGAGGAGGAGGAGGGGGAGGAGGAGGAGGAGGAGGAGGAGGAGGAGGAGGAGGAGGAGGAGGAGGGGGGCCTCTTGGGAGCCTCTTGAGGCACTCTTTGGGCCTCCTGGGAGCTTCCTGGGGACCTCTTGGAAGCCTCTTGGGAGTTTCTTGGGCCTCTTGGGGGCCTTTGGAAGCTCCTCGGGAGGCCCTTTTGCAAACTTAAGGCCTTCCTGCCCCGTCTAACGCTGTTGGAAGCCGTCTTGCGGGTCTCTCTGGGCTGACTTGGGGCCTTGTTAGGGCACTTCGGGGCCGTCTTGGAGGCCATTTTGGGCGTCTTGGAAGTGTCCTGGTCCTTCTTGGGGCCCTTTGGTGGCCGTCTTGGGGGCCTCCTGGGCTGTCAGGGGGCTATCTCGGAGGCCTCTTGGGCGCTCTTGGGGCCATCTTGTTGGCCCCTGCGGCCCTCTTGGGCCGTCGGACAATTGAAAGTGAGGAACCGCCCAGACAGCTGATTCGGGTCTCTTCGGGCCTTCCTGGAAGACCTCTTGGAGGCCTCTTGGGGGCGGGTTGTCTTGGGCCTCTGGTGGCCATTTTCGACCGTCTTGGCTGCATCGTGGGCCGTCTTCCAGGCATATTGCGGCTATCTTGGGCTCTCTTAGTGGCCATCTTGGTTGTCTTGGGATACCATCTTGAGCGTTTTGGGGGACTTCTTCGTGGGCCGTCTGTGGGCCCTCTGGGGCCCTCTCGGGGGCCCCTTGGGCCGTCATGGGACAATCTTTGGGATTTTGTTGGGTGATCCTCGGGCGACATTTGAGACCTCTTGGACCGTTCTGGCCCGTCGGAACGCAAACACAGAGGAATTACCCAACTCCTTTCAACTACCTAAGGAATGATGTAAGCCTCCTCAGGCCTTCCCGAAGGACCTTGAAGTTCCCTGGGGCCGTCATGAGAGCCTCTTGGGGCGTCTTGGGCCATCTGGAGGCCAACCCGGGCCGTCTTGTCTACATCTTGGGCCGCCTTGGGATCTGGGGCTCTCTTGGGGACATCTTGGCCGTCCCTGAGCCCATCTTGGGCGTCTTGGGAGCTATCTGGGGCCAACTTTGTGGGCCTCTTGGGCCGTCATAAGGGCCATCTTGGAGGTTTCTTGGGCACTCTTGAGGCGATCTTGGAGCCTCCTCAGCCGTCTTGGAACGTCGGAAGGCCGACAAGAAGCAAACATATTGACAACCAATGATTAAGGCTTGTTCGGGCCTTCTGGGGTCCTCTCGGAGGCCTCTGGGTTCGTCTTGAAGACCTCTTGGATTATCTGAGGTCATCTTGGAGCCATCTTGGGGCAGTTTTGGCGACTTCTTGTACGGACCTGGGGGCATCTTGCACCCTCTTGGGTCGTCTTGGGGGCCATTCTGGACCATCTTGGGCGAACTGAAAGGCCATTTTGGGCTATCTCGGCCGTGATCCATCTGGAAAGAGACCATTCTTGCCACCCGGGTCTGCATGAGCTATTCGGGTGGGCGGCGCGGTGGGCCGAAACCACCGGGGGAGCTCTTTTTATAAAAGAGCAATGCAAACCCTTTGTTCAGGCGATCGTGAACATGGATCAAGGGGGCGTGGATTGGCGACGGGTCCCGTTTCCGTTGGAAATCGCAGATTTTTCCGCCGCCGAGCGAGGCGGCACCAGCCGGCCGCATTTTCGGGAGGGCAACTCCCTCGATCCATGGACTTGGCGACCGCGAGCCAACTCCATGGATCACTAATCCATGCTTGCGCGCCCCCGACACGAGCCCTGACGTCCAGAATGCCGTGCACCCCTGTGGCAGGACCACAGGGGGCACCGAGATGTGACAGAGCAGGAGTAGCCGCTGCCGCCTGGCGCTGCCGCCCCCCCCGCCGAAGAGGCAGCCCCCCCTCCGCTGGTCGTCGTTGTCGTGCGGCCTTTCGGCCCATCACGCGACCGTGCCTGGGACTCCAAGACGGGCTCCTAAGGTTTTTTCGGCCGCGCCGGAAGTTTGGAAGTCGGTCCGCGAGGCCTCCCACACGGCTCCAAGACGGGCTCCTGGGGCATCTTTGACCACGTTGGAGGTTTGTACAGTGGGGATCCATGCCAAGAAACACCCTGCTTGCCGCCAGGGTGCCCTGGGATTCTTGGGTCTCGATGGATTTGCGATGGGAAGCGTGTCTTTCCACACCAAACATCAATGCACGCTTTGGGGTCTCAGGATTGGGTTTCTTGTGGGAGGTTTCTTGTGGTCGAGCCTCCATTGTATTCCGCACCGCGCATCCGAGGACTCGGAAGAGTCTTGCGCCGCAGTCTGGGAGTGCCCCCAAGCGCCGAAGAGGTGCAGGAATCCAGGGCCTTGGCCCTTACAAAAGCATGCACAGGCACAGGCTCATGACAGAGAGCTCAAATGGCCCGAAGACATTCTTGGTGGCGGATGGATGAACGCCGCTACAACTTCCCGCGTCAGGGACGGATTGCTGTTGTGCTCCGAGGGGCGAGTTTTCGAAATAAGCGCAAGAAGGGTGAGGCGTGTTTGACGGGGGACACGAAATCACAGCGTTTGCAGAAGGAGGCAACGGTTTCGATGGTGGAAAACATAATCGTACCGCTCGAGCAGGCTGACAACGCAGTGGACGTCATCGTGACTGATCACGAGTGCTCCTTCACCAAGGCGATGATCGTTCCCTGGATCGGGGAGCAGCGCGTGAAGGCCGCTGGGACAATTGGCGACGGTATCGATCAGAACCGCAACATCTTGTTTGCGCTCGACTCGCCAAACACAGCAACGGAATAGACGGGGTGGCATCCAAGTACAGTTACGTTTCCGTTTTGCGCCATGACACGGTCTGGACAAAACCGATGCGTGAGTGGCCCGAGGCGGACTTCTCGGAGGTCCTTAAGACCATCGATGCCAGGTCGTGTTTCAAGGACCCTTCGCGCCGCCTCCTCCTCCGGCGGCCACCTCTCGTCCTGCGGTGCTTGCGCCCCCTTTCCTGACGTTGACTCCTCCTCCGACCTTCACGGCTCCTCCTCCTCCTCCTCCTCCTCGCGCCTCCTCTTCCTCCTCTTCCTTCTTTTCCACCTACGCCCCCTTTCCTGACGTTGACTCCTCCTCCGACCTTCACGGCTCCTCCTCCTCCTCCTCGCGCCTCCTCTTTCTCCTCTTCCTTCTTTTCCACCTCCTCCCTTCCCCTCCTCCTCCTCCTGCTTCGAGGGCGCCGACGGACGCCTCTGCCTCCCGGCCATGGTGGGGCAGTCGGGTGAGAGCAGCGTGGGCGTGGCGGCGCACTACAGCGAGAAAACCGAACCGACCTGGTTCTGGCACACGTACGGCAGAGGCAGACCCTTTTGTTGAGCGCGGCCATGGAGTTCGTCTTCTTCCTCCTCCACCCCCATCCACCTTGGCCCTCCCCCTCATCATTCCTGCCTCTCCAGCCTCCTCTGCGCAAGCCTCCCGAACTGCTTGAGGCCTTGCTCGTTCGAGAAACTTCTTCGGGATCCCATCTGCCATCGTCACTCGAAACATCGTCGCTTAGCAAGCCCGCTTCTCAATGTCCTGCACGTGCGCGAGCAGCGCCCCCTCGCAACCGCAACCGTCGCCACCAGCGCGCCCGGGAAGGCTTGCCGCAGAGGAGGAGGAGGAGGAAGAGGAGGGGGGGAGGAGGATATGCTGATGACGATGATGATTATGCTGCTGATGGTGGTGATGATGATGCTGCTGATTATGGTGACGATGGCGATGATGCTGAGGTTGATGTTGCTGATGCTGACGCTGATGCTCCTGATGGTCACGATGATGATGGTGTTGCTGGTTTTGATGATGCTGATGCTGATGTTGATGATGATGATGATCACGATGACGATGCTGATGGTGGTGGTGGTGATGATGGTGGTTGTGTTGGTGACGATGGTAATGATGATGTTGATGCTGCTGTTGCTGATGATGATGATGGGGGTGGCGATGCTGATGATTATGATGATGATGTTGATGATGAGGATGATAGTGATGGTGGTGATGGTGATGGTGATGGTGATGGTGATGATGGTGGTGGTAATTGTGGTGGTGGGTTATCATGATCGTGTTGGTGGCGATGGTGATGGTGAAGGTGATGGTCATGGTGATGACGAAGATGATTGTGATGGGGATGATGCTGCTGATGATGCTGATGATGCTGTTGCGGAAGCTGCTGATACTGATGCTCATGATGATGATGGTGATGCTGGTGGTGATGATGATGCTGATGATGATGATGCTGTTGATGATGATGGTGATGGTGATGATGATGCCGATGATGATGATGATGACGATGCTGATGCTGATGCTGACGATGATGCTGATGATGATGATGCTGATAATGCGGATGCTGATCATGATGCTCATGATGAGGGCGATGATGAGGATGAATATGGGGATGAGGAGGGGGAGGAGGCTGATGATTGTGATGGCGATTGCGATTGTGATGGTGGTGTTGATGATGATGCTGATGACAATGCCCATGCTGATGCTGCTGCTGATTGTCATGTCGGTGATCATGTTGATGCTCATGATGATGTTGTTGTTCGTGCGGATGATGATGATGCGGATGCTGATGCTGAGGGTGAGGATGAGGGTGAGGATGGTGAGGATGATGAGGATGAGGATGATGATTGGGATGAGGATGAGGATGACGGTGATGATGATGATGATGCTGATGACGATGAGGATGATGATGATGATGAAGCGGATGATAATGATGCTGTCGGTGATGATGATGGTGATGGTGATGTTGATTATGATGATGATGGTGATGAGGTTGAGGGTGAGGAGGAGGAGGAGGAGGAAGAGGAGGAGGAGGAGGGGGGGGGAAGGATGAGGAGGAGGTATGAGGATGAGGACGAGCAGGAGGAGAAGGATAAGGCGGTCTGGAGGAGGGGGGGAGGAAGAAAAGCAGTTTGGTGGGGAGGGGGGAGGGGGGGGGGGAGGGTGGGGGAGGGGGTGGGGAGGAAGAGAATGATTTGGATGAGGATGGTGATTTTGATGATGACGGGAAGAGGAGGGGGAGGAGCAGGAGGAGGATGCGGATTATGGTTGTGGGCATGCTGGCGACGGTGATTGTGATGGGAATGGTGATAGTGATGATGTTGATTATGATGATGGTGATGAAGATGATGATGGTAGTGCTGGTGGTGGTGATGCTGCTGCTGATGATGATTTGGATGGTTGCGGTGCTGACGATGATCATGGTGGTGGTGATGATGATCCTGGCGGTGATGATGATGATGCTGATGATTATGATGATGATGATGGTGATGGTGATGATGATGATGGTGATGCGACTGCTGCTGATGATGATGACTAAGCTGATGAGGATGATGATGATAGTGATGGTGGTGGTATTGGTGATTTTGCTTCTGATTCTGATTATGCTGAGTATGATGTTGATGATGATTAGGCGGATTTTCATGGTCGAGGTGGGATTCAGGATTATGATGTGATGATGATGGTGATGACCCGTGTATCGTCGTGGTGCTGGTCATGGCGGGAATGTTGATGCTGCTGACGATGATGGGGCGATGCTGATGATGCTCATGGTGATGGTGGCGATGCTGCTGCTGATGATATTCTGAGTTTGATGATTGTGGTTGTTGCGGTGATGATGGTGCTTATGCTAGTCATGGTGATGATGTCGATGCTGATGATCACAACGGTGATGGTGGTGGTGGAGATGTTGACGATGGTGTCGGTGATTATGATGATGATTATGTTGATGATGATGGTGGTTGTGGGTGCTCACGGGGATGATGATGAGCATGATGATGGTGATGATGCTGCTAATGCAAATGATGATGATGACGATGACGATGACGATGACGATGCTGACGATGCTGATGATAATGGTGGTGGTGATGATAATGGTGATGGTGACGATGCCGATGAAGTTGCAGATGATGCTGGTGATGGCGATGATGATGATGATAACTCTTGTGATGACGATGCTGATGGTAGTGGTGCTGTTTCTGCTGATGCGGAGGACGATTTGGATGGTGTTGGTGGTGGCCTTGATGATGATCATGTTGGTGAGTATGATAATGATGGTGATGCTGACGCTGATGATGTTGACGATGGTGATGATGATTATGATGGTTGTGGTGATTGTGGTGGTTATGCTTCTGATGGTGATGGCTTGGGTGAATTTGGTGGCGATGTTGACGGCACTGACCATGACATTGCTCACGATGACCATTTTTATTGTGATGACGATCATTGCGGTGGTGATGGTGATGATGATGCTGGTGATGATGGTGATTTTGATGTTGCGGTTGGTGGTGATGATGATTTCGATTCTTGTGGTGGGAATGGTGCTTTTATTATGATGACCAGGGTGTTGGTGATGGTGATCATGGTGGTGATGCTGGTGATGGTGATGGTGGTGATGATGCTGATCATGCGGATGATGATGGTGATGGTCATGATGATGCTGCTGATGCTGACGCTGGCGGTGGTGGTGGTGGTGGTAGGGGTGTTGGTGGTGGTGCTGCTGCTGATGATGATGCTGATGATTCGGATGGTTGCGTCGGCGGTGGTGACGATCACTATGATGCGGAGGTTGTTGATGGCGATGCCGATGTTGATGACGATGATGGTGATGGCGATGTTGCTCATGATGATGGTCATCGTTATGGCGATTATGTTGCGGCTGATGATGATACGGATGATGATGCTGATGATGGTGTTGGTGCTGATGATGGCGATTGTGGTGGTGATGGTGACGGTGTTGAGGACACCGTTAATGATGATGGGGATGATGATGATGATGATGTTGATGAGGATGAGGATGATGATGAGGATGGGGCTGGGATGGTGGTGATGATGTGTTGGATGGTGTTAGTGGTGATGCTGATGCAATACTAAGTATGCATAAGATGGTGCGACTATGGTGGTGATGATGATGCTGGTGATGATGATGTTGATGGTGGTTGTGGTGGCGATGCTTCTGCTGCTGCTGCTGATTATGACTTGGATGGTAATGATGGCGATGGCGATGGCGATGATGCTGGCGATGATGATGAGGATGCTGCTGATGATGATGATGATGGCGGTGGTGATGCTGATCATGGTGGTGATGATGGTGATGCTGATGATACTGATGATGCTGATGTTGGCGGTGGCTGTGATGTTGCTGCTGACGATGATTCGGATGATTGTGGTGGTGGTGATGATGAGGATGCTGCTGATAATGATGATGCTGCTGCTGCTGATGATGATGAATGTGAGGGCCACGGTGGTGGTGAGGATGAACATGGCCGTGAGTATGAGGCTGATGATAAGGTTGATGAGGATGGGGGCGAGGATGAGACGGTGATGATGATTACGATGATGGTGGTGAAGGTGATGATGCTGATGACGACGATGGTTTGGATGGTTGTGGTTGTGCTGCTGATGATGATACTGATGGTCATGATCAGCAATGGTGGTGGTGATGGCGATCATGATGTGGCGATGGTGAGGATAGGGACGAGGGGGAGGAGGAGAAAGATGAGGAGGAGGAGGATTGGAATCCGCTGCTGCGGCTGCCGCCGAGGACGACCACATGGATGATGACGGGGATGCTGAGGACGACCATGATGATGATGATGCTGATGATGATGATGATGGTGATGGTGATTGTGATGGTGGCGATGATGATGATGGTGGTGGTGGTGGTGACGATGATGATGGTGAAGGTGGTGGTCGTGATGATGATGCTGCTGATGATGGTACTTTGGATGGTCGTAGTAGCGGTGCTGATGATGCTGATGATGCTGATGCTGAGGATGAAAATGGTGATCGGGGTGGTGGTGATGACGATCATGGCGGTGATGATGATGATGATGATGCTGATGATGCCGCGCCTCCGCCGCCGCCGCCGCCCTAACCGATGACGATGCTGCTGATGATGATGGTGCGGATGACGATAATGATGGTGGTGGCGACGACGTTGGTGGTGGTGGTGCTGATATGGATAGTTGGGGTGGTGGTGAGGAGGGGTACTATGCTGATCATGGTGTTGATGATGACCACGGTGGTAATGATGATGAGGACGACGATGATTATTATGATGATGATCATGTTGCTGATGATGGTTATGCGGATCATCATGGCGATTCTGATTATAATATTTGTGATGCTGGCGAGGATGGTAGTTGCTGCTGCTGCCGCCGCCGATGATGAGGATGATGATGATGATAGTGATGGTGATGCTGATGCTGCTGATGACGATGATGATGCTGCTGATGGCGATGATGCTGCTGATGCTTATGCTGATGCTGATGCGGATGATGATTATGATGACGATGTGTTTGATGGTTGTGGTGTTGGTGGTGGTCATCGTGGTGATTATGGTTACCGTGGTGGTGGTGATGATGATCATGGTGGTGATGATCACGATGATGGTGATGGTGATATGATGATGATGATGATGATGATGAGAATGCTGCGCTGCTGCTGCCGCCGCCGCAAATGTTGATGCCGATGACGAGGATGAGGATGATGATGTGGATGCGGATGATGGTGATATGGTGGTGGTGGTGGTGATGCTGTGGCTTCTGCTGATGTTGCTGCGGATGATGATTTGGATGCTTGTGGTGGTGGTCATGGCAATGATGGTTATTGTGTTCATGGTGGTGGCGATGATGATCATGGGCGTGATGATGATGGTCACGTATGAAGATGATGATGCTGACGATAATGCTGATGATGGTGGTGGTGGTGATGCTGCTATTGACGATGCTTTGGATGGTTGTGGTGATGACGTTGCGGATGATTATGATGATCATGTTGGTTGTGGTGATGATTATGGCGGTGATGGTCATGTTGCCGATGGTGATGATGATGATGCTGAGACGCAGGACTATGATGATGAACGTAGTGATGGTGGTGGTGATGATGATATTGTTGTTGATGATGGTGGTGATGATTATCAGGATGACGAGGCGACGATGATGACGATGGTGATTCCGAGGAGGAGAACGATGCTGATGGTGATGATGATGATGACGATACTGATGCTGAGGATGATGATGATGATGCTGTTGCTGATGGTTATGATGATGTTGATGCTGATGATGATGAGCATGATGATGATGACGATGATGATTATGATGATGATGTCGGACATGATGTTGATGAGGATGAGGATGATGGTGATGATGATGATGATGATGCTGATGCTGATGATGATGATGATGACGATGATGATGATGATGATGATGATGCTGATTTGGATGATGATGATGATGCTGCTGCTGATGATGATGATACTGTTGATGATTGGTGTTTCTTTTGGCATGTGTGCGTCAGCGGCTAGACGGTGTCTGCTCGCTTCTGGGCGCTGTACCTGTTGCGCCGCCATAAGATATCCATATGTACCGCTTTGGAGTCGTGCTCTGGAAACTCGGGGAGTGGTGGAAATTGACATGTCTGCCCGCCCGCATTAGCGGGCAGATGCCCATATCCACCGCCCCCTGATCCCCCCGGGACACTACCCCGCAGCAGTGGATATTGACATGTTCTGGTGGCGCACCCTCCCCTCCCTCTCCTTTCCATCCCTCGCCGCACTCTCTGATGCTCGCGCGTGGCCCTCTCGTCAGCAGCAGGCTCGAGCACCCTCCCTCGGCTTCGCACCTGGCGGCATTCGCGCAGCCGCTGGCCGCACAGTATGGGGAAGGACGCCGCGCAGGAGACTCTTCGGGCAGCCAGCAGCCACGGGGATTCTTCTCTTCTCGTCTCCTCCTCCCCCCCCCATCCTGCTTCCTCTCCCCTCTCCTCCGCGGCTGCTTTCCCTCTCCTTGCCCCCGGCCCCGCCCTGTGACCGCGGAGTTGAGAACGGCTAACAGGCACGTTCACCCCACCCACTGCGTGGCCATGCGCAACGGACAGGTGTGGTGTTGGAAGTGCGCTAGTCTGGGCACCGTGGTTAACGGGGGGGGAGACTCTTGCTCTTGGCAGAGCCGTGCCGTGGTTGGATCACCCCCTCGGGAGAGAATCATCTCAGTCGATTGCGCAAGGGACCCCCTAAGGGCAACAAATGGCCCAATGAGAAGGGAGCGGGGCGCCTCCAAGTGGAGGCAGGCTCGAGCGTGAGCAAGTCTTTTTTGAAAACCAATTCTCGGAGATAGATGACTATCGAGAGCCGCCCCCCGCGGGGGGGTGTAACTGTCCAGCTGTGGCCTCGCTGCTGACTGGCACCCTTCAGCATTCTCCCAGCATTCTCCTTCCCCCAGGCCCTCCTCCGCCTCGACCCGCCCCTGTTCCTCGTGATCGTCCCGCTCCTCCTCCGGTGTGTGCGTGTGTGTGCATGCGCTTGTGCGCGCGCGTGTGTGTGTGTGTGTGTGTGTGTGTGTCTGTCTGTGTGTCTGTGTGCGTGCGCGTGTGCGTGTGCGTGTGCGTGTGGGCGTGTGCCGCACGTCCTCTGATCACTCCCGCTTGCCTGACTCCACCGCATCGCGGCGCGCGTGGCTGCGACGTCAAGCACGCGAGTGCGCGCGCGCGTGTGTGCGCGCGCGTGTGCGTGCGTGCGTGCGTGCGTGCGTGCGTGCGTGCGTGCGCTCCTCGCAGGGGGTCCCCCCGACCGCCTCTGGGCAGGCGTGGGCCCCTCGTCCTGCTGCGCCGCCCGTAGCGCTCGGGCCCGCGAGCGCGCCTCTTGGCCCTGCCCTTCCCCTTCCCGCTCTGTCGCGTCCACGGAACATGGAAGAGTGAAATTGTGCGCGCGTGAGCGTGCGTGTGTGTGTGTGTGCGTGTGCGTGTGTGGGTTTGTGTGTGTGGGTGTGCATCGTGTGTGTGTGTGTGTATGTTGTGTGCTGTTGTGTGTGTGTTGTGTGTAGTGTGCGTGAGTGTGTGTGTGCGCGTGTGCGCGCGTGTGTGCGTGTGTGTGCGAGTGTGTGTGTGTGTGTGCGTGTGTGTGTGTGTGTGTGTGTGTGTGCGTGCGTGCGTGCGTGCGTGTGCGTGTGCGTGTGCGTGTGTGTTGTGTATGTGTGCGTGTGTGTCTTTGTGGCGTTGCCCGCCCGTCCCCGTTGCCGCAGGCAACGCACGTTGCTTCATTTTAGTGAGTGTGGTTTCTAGTCGCTCTGAGGATTTGGATGACTTCAGCCAGCACCCGCTGTTCGTGAAGGTCCTCGGCAGCACTTCGATCGTGCTGGCTCGACGTTGCCCAGCGATGCCTTGCATGTGTCTTGCGATGGGTAGGAGGAGGAGGAGGAGGAGAGGGAGAGGCAGGAGGAGGAGGAGGAGGAGGAGGAAAAAGAAAAGGAAAAGGAGAAGGCCGTCGAGGAGGTAGTAAATGATCAACAGGAGGCGGAGGAGTAGGAAAAGTCAAGCTGCCGCAGGTGCCTTAAGGCACGCACGCCCTGGTCGCCTCTCTGCGTAGAAAGTTGCTTATCCGTGTCCGGCGAGTCACCCCGCCGCTCCTTGCCCTGTTAGCAGCGCCTATGTTCTGTGCGGCCAAACGTTTGGCCACGATGTGACCAAGATGCCAAACTGTGTGCTACCCCAGCCATTGGGGAACCAATTGAGGAAGCATTTGGGCACATTTGTAAATCCGTAAGGGTTTCGCCCCCATGCCGCTGGCCCCCCTTTCTTAGAATGGGACTTGCCAGAGCTATGTTGGGATGTCTGGACGCTGACGTGAAGCAATGTCGGGACTTCGCCAAGTACAGAAAATCTCGCAACTACAAATATTTCATATTTTTCAAACAGTTTACGGCTTCGAGGGCGCGAATATTGCGTAGTGTACGAGGGTTTATGGCTTCGGAGACGCGAACATTGCGCAATTTACGAGATTGTATGGCTTCGGGGACGCGGATCACGTGTCATTTATTATGGTGTATGGCATCAGGAGCGCGAATATATGTACTTTGCACGGGTTTATCGCCTGTTGGACGCGAGTATGGTTTATTGTACGAAAGTGTATGGCGTCGGGGACGCAAACATTGCGTAATTTACGGGGGTTTATGGCCTCGGTGATGCCAATATCGAGTAATGTATTGGAGATTACGTTTTCGGGGACGCGAATCTGGTGTAATTTGCGAGGGTGTGCGGCCTCGGGGACGCGACTGTGGCGTAGTTCACTACGGATTATGGCCTCGGGGACGCGAAGATCAAGTATTTGTAAGTGTCGCACTCCCCCCCAGCAATTCTGAGAACCCTCTCAGGGCGTGGTAAAATTATCCTGGCGAAAGACCCAACCATAAGCAATTGTTGGTAACGCGTTGTGGGTGCCGCTTTCGGTGGGGCTCCATATGGGGCCACGAAGCGCTGCCTTGGATGGGGGAACCGCATGCGGACTGCGCCACCGGGGCGGGCCTTCGGTGGAGCTCCCTATGGGGCTACGAAACGCTGCCCTGGGTGGGGGAACCGCATGCGAACTGCGCCACTGGGGCCTTCGGTGGAGCTCCCTATGGTGCCACGAAACGCTGCCCTGGGTGGGGGAACCGCATGCGAACACCGCCACTGGGGCCTTCGGTGGAGCTCCCTATGGGGCCACGAAGCGCTGCCCTGGGTGGGGGAACCGCATGCGAACACCCCCACTGGGGCCTTCGGTGGAGCTCCCTATGGGGCCACGAAACGCTGCCCTGGGTGGGGGAACCGCATGCGAACACCCCCACTGGGGCCTTCGGTGGAGCTCCCTATGGGGCTACGAAACGCTGCCCTGGGTGGGGGAACCGCATGCGAACACCCCCACTGGGGCCTTCGGTGGAGCTCCCTATGGGGCCACGAAACGCTGCCCTGGGTGGGGGAACCGCATGCGAACACCCCCACTGGGGCCTTCGGTGGAGCTCCCTATGGGGCTACGAAACGCTGCCCTGGGTGGGGGAACCGCATGCGAACACCCCCACTGGGGCCTTCGGTGGAGCTCCCTATGGGGCCACGAAACGCTGCCCTGGGTGGGGGAACCGCATGCGAACACCCCCACTGGGGCCTTCGGTGGAGCTCCCTATGGGGCCACGAAACGCTGCCCTGGGTGGGGGAACCGCATGCGAACACCCCCACTGGGGCCTTCGGTGGAGCTCCCTATGGGGCTACGAAACGCTGCCCTGGGTGGGGGAACCGCATGCGAACACCCCCACTGGGGCCTTCGGTGGAGCTCCCTATGGGGCCACGAAACGCTGCCCTGGGTGGGGGAACCGCATGCGAACACCCCCACTGGGGCCTTCGGTGGAGCTCCCTATGGGGCTACGAAACGCTGCCCTGGGTGGGGGAACCGCATGCGAACACCCCCACTGGGGCCTTCGGTGGAGCTCCCTATGGGGCCACGAAACGCTGCCCTGGGTGGGGGAACCGCATGCGAACACCCCCACTGGGGCCTTCGGTGGAGCTCCCTATGGGGCCACGAAACGCTGCCCTGGGTGGGGGAACCGCATGCGAACACCCCCACTGGGGCCTTCGGTGGAGCTCCCTATGGGGCTACGAAACGCTGCCCTGGGTGGGGGAACCGCATGCGAACACCCCCACTGGGGCCTTCGGTGGAGCTCCCTATGGGGCCACGAAACGCTGCCCTGGGTGGGGGAACCGCATGCGAACACCCCCACTGGGGCCTTCGGTGGAGCTCCCTATGGGGCTACGAAACGCTGCCCTGGGTGGGGGAACCGCATGCGCACACCCCCACTGGGGCCTTGGGGCCTTCGGTGGAGCTCCCTATGGGGCTACGAAACGCTGCCGCTGTGGGTGGGGGAACCGCATGCGAACACCCCCACTGGGGCCTTCGGTGGAGCTCCCTATGGGGCTACGAAACGCTGCCCTGGGTGGGGGAACCGCATGCGAACACCCCCACTGGGGCCTTCGGTGGAGCTCCCTATGGGGCCACGAAACGCTGCCCTGGGTGGGGGAACCGCATGCGAACACCCCCACTGGGGCCTTCGGTGGAGCTCCCTATGGGGCTACGAAACGCTGCCCTGGGTGGGGGAACCGCATGCGAACACCCCCACTGGGGCCTTCGGTGGAGCTCCCTATGGGGCCACGAAACGCTGCCCTGGGTGGGGGAACCGCATGCGAACACCCCCACTGGGGCCTTCGGTGGAGCTCCCTATGGGGCTACGAAACGCTGCCCTGGGTGGGGGAACCGCATGCGAACACCCCCACTGGGGCCTTCGGTGGAGCTCCCTATGGGGCTACGAAACGCGTGAGAGGTGTGCCGAGAGCAGAGGCAAGGAGGGGGAGGAGGGAGGAGGAGAGGAAGGAGAGGAACGCGGGGCACCGTCTCTTCAAAACGAGGACCCAACACCACAGGATGGTTGGGAAAAAAACATCCCGTTTGGGGCTTCACCCCTCACGCGGACATCAACAATTTACAGAAAGGAAGCGGAACGCAGGACTGTAACAGTGGAAATTGGAAACTGCAATTGGGACAGGGAGCTGCAATCCTCATCCTCGCAGCCTGGTGGCCCCGCACGGGACCAGCGGATATCTATAGGGCCGATGTTGTTGTTTTCAGGGCCTCTCTGACTCTGGCCTTCCGAGGTGGGGCTGTCTTGGCGGCCTTGGGGGACATTTTTGGGGAGTCTTGGAGGCTCTTTTGGGCATCTTGTGCCGTCTCGAGGGCCTCACAAGCAGTCTTGGCGGCCTCCCGATGCCTCATGTGCCATCTTGGTTGCATCTTAGGCCGTCATGGGGCTTTTGGGGCCATCGTGTGTTGTCTTGGGACCCTCTTGGGCCCTTCTGGGCCTCGCTGAAGTCGGATGTGGAACACGGGAGGCAGGAGTCGTTGAACATCACGTTGCTTTTCATTGGTTTCTTTTCTTCGGGTTTCATGGGGCCTACCTTGGGTGTCATCTGAGGGCCTCTTGGGGTTTCTTGGGCTACTTCTGGATCCACTTAATCCTTATTGGCTGCCTCTAGGGCACTCCTTTGGGGCCTCCTGGGTGCTTGTTAATGCCCTCTTGGGCTGTCTTGGGGCGTTTTGGACATTTCCTTGGATCCATCTTGAGCAACTTGGGCAATTGAGGAGGGAGCAGGAGTGAGAGGAGTGGGGGATACGCGGCCTCCACAGTTACCTGGTGCAGTATTGGGGTTTCCCCACGCTTACCATACCTCCTTACGATGGCTTCTCTTTTCACAAGCACGGTTGGATCATGGTTCCTTTTCTTCCTAAGCCTGCTGGCGCATGGGAATGCTCCAAATGTGGCTGTGGACGGAACCTGCAGCACTTGTCGTGGTGCAAGCTCTACGCACCATGGCAGGGTGTTGGCTGTTGGGTGTAATGGCGGCAACAATGTGGACACCCGGTCGGCGCCGCCAACACCAACTCGCCCTTCAAATCTGGCGGCCACACGGAAGAGCTGGGCGAGGAAGACTTGGCGCAGTTGGTTGCAATCTACAAGAAGGCAGGCCAACTGGAGGAGATCAACACGTACCAAGGCCAGATGGAAAAGCTACGAGCCCACCTTTACACCGCCGCAATGGGCCCAAAGGAGAAGCTCGACAAGGCCTACAAGCAGATTCTGCACCTGGACAGGCAGCTCAATCACCAGACTGAGTCCTATGACAAGGTTGTATTGCAGTTGTCTTACCACGTTGGCCAGATCAAGAAGCTGTCCGATGATCTTGACGAACAAGAACGGATGTACAAATAACCCACCCAGGAACTCCATGCAGGGGTATCAGGACCGCAGCAGGATAAGCACACTGCCCCATCTGCAGTTTCTTTGGATGAGACTATGGCAGGCAAAGTGGGGTTCTTGGATATCAACCCAGGCGAGCTGTTCTCGGGCGAAGAGAACTATGCACATGCACCGATCCTGGCAAGGTCCATCCTTGACCCGGGATCGGTGCATATGCCTTCCTGGCCAAGGTAGGAGGGCGTATGCACCGATCCTGGGCGCAGGAGGGGCCGGGCCAGAATCGGTGTATGTGCATAGTTCTGTTTCCTCTATCGACGTTCGGGCTCAGTGATTATGTTGACCCTACTCCAGAAGACACAGCGGAAGCAGAGAAACGCCTCAATGACCTCAAGCAGATATTCGCTAAGCAGGTCAATGCCATGTTCGGCGCGGTCAAAGATAGAGCGGAGGCCCTCAAGCGTGAACACGAAGCACAGTAAGAGACACGCAGGAAGAAGCGCAAGCAGGAGGAGTCAGCCGAAGGTACATCACATACAGGAGGTGCTGACCCAGTACC